GGCAAAAATGCTCAATGTATGATATGTGATGAAAGTCACCTCTACTGTTTTCGCATGTACGTCATTGCTTTCTGCTAGTTATGTTCGTATGGTACGTCTAACAGCAAGGCGGGTAGAGTGGAGTTCACACAAAAAATGGACAAATAAAAGAACCAGCATATTGGACCGAACGTGACCTAGCACGAATGACTCCGGAAGCAAGAGAGGATTATGAACGTTTTATATTGAGCGACAGGCCAAAATATATTTCAATGATTGATTGATTTTTAATAATTACCACATTGTAAATTAATAAAAATTAAAAAAAAAATGATATTACAAAGATTATGTTAACGTTTTTAAAAATTACGAAAAGTTCGGTTAAAACTACTGTAATATAAACTATATTGATATGTACTATAAAATATTATGTTATGCCCACGGTCGGTCCCAGTTTCTAACACACTTTGGAATAAAACTGTTCTTATATTGTTCAGTTTTGCACTTGTACATAGGATAAGTGCGTTTGTTTCTTAGACTGAATTTGTGAGATATAGCACTGGGAAGTAGCGTTCTCAACTTGTCGTCTGAGTGTTGATGGATGGATGTTCTTATAAAATGACAAGCACTGATTCTCTCTTTGCTGGTTAAGTGTAAGAAGGCCAACACTTGTTAGTGAAGAAGCATAAGAGGACTGGGGGAAAGCGATCTTCAATGCACGTTTTTTGTATACTCTCGATTTGGTCAGCGAGGAATTGAGGGAGAGAAAAATGCCATACAGGTGAGGCGTATTCCAAAACTGGACGAATAAATGCACAAAAAACAGTTATTAAATCATTGGCAGGGGCACCAAATCGTTTGAGGATCCTTAGAGCGTATAAAGACGTTTACTTGCTTTGGTGCAGATGTAATCAATCAGTCATTTATAGTGTTTATATTAGCTTGAAGCGATGAATTGGGGAACGATCTTGAAACGATTTCATAAGTGGAACAGTCATCGACATATTTGTACAATGGAGTGTTAATTTTCAAGTCATTTATCATCACAAGGAAGAAGAGGGGTCCAAGTTTTGTAGGGGTCCACGTCTGCTGAGGAGTCTACGTCTGCTGATTTCCAGAGTGTCGGGATGGTACCTTGTGCAATGCTGGTATTAAAGATGGAACATATTGTACCAGCAAGCAGCGGTGCAGCTGCTTTCAGTACCCAGTTCGGAATGCCGTCGGGGCCAATTGCTTTCTAAAGACTGATCTTTTCCAATACGGTTTCGACTTGTTGGGTTGATATTATGGACTCATCAGGAATAGATGTAATGTGCAGCTTGTTGAAGCAGAGTGGGGCCAATCCGTTTGAAACAGCACAGAAATATTCGGCAATTAGTTCAGGAAGCTCGGGACCTCTTTTGAACTCACCATCATGGAAGACGCTCGAAAAAGGTTCCGATTTGGATAAATCAGAAATGGACTTGATATTATCGTACCATTTTTTCGGGTTAGATTCCCTGGTATTAAGAATTTTCTTATCGTAGTAGAACTAACTGGCAGATTTGCATAGTTTTTTAACTTTGTTACGATAAAAGTTATACATGACTGGTTGACCAAGCTTTCTGCCATTTAGAAATGTTTTTTTTTATATCTGCAGTGATACATGGTTGATCTTTAGGGTAACACTTTATGGTGTGCAAAGGGATGTGACTATCGATAACAGAGGATATTTTATTCGAGGATAGGTTGAATTGATCTTCTGGAGCAGTTACGTGGTAAAGTGGGGTCCAGTTGATTTGGGATAGGGTGGTGATTAGGGCTTGTTTGTTTGCGGGTCGACAGTCTCTCTTAGTAATGTAGTAAGAAGTGTCAGACTTGTGTGACTTCAGACTTTGTTTAGTCGGGTTGAGAAGAACACTTTGGTGATCAGATTGTCCAATGCATGGGAGTATAATGGCATGCTTCGAAAGGGTAGTGTAAATCTTATCAAGGATATTTTTACCATGAGTGGGTCTTTTCACAACTTGTTTAAGATTAAAGTATGAAGTTAATGATCCAGGTTTAAACTGGTTAAAGTGGTTAAAGTCCCCTAACAAGACAATGCCTGCGTTTGGAAAATTGGTGAGAGCGTTGTCCAGGGATTCAAATAGATGGTTCCCTAGTGTAAGGTTGTTATTTTGTGGAGGGTGGTAGACAGAGGCTATTACAATTGCATTACTTCCTCTTGTAAGTCTTTTGGGTTTTATCAAAAACCACTGTGATTTAATGTCGGGGTAAGATAAATCTTCTAATTCCAGGAAGTCTAATGTATTTCTGATATAGATGCATAGTCCTCCACCATGTTGGTCGTCACATCGGTCTTTGCGAATACATGAAAACCCAGGGATCTTAATGAGATCATTCGTAATGTTTGACGAAAGCCATGATTCTGTGATGATTGCAATATCACATTTATTATTAGTAATAGTTACACTGATCTCATCCAGTTTATTAGCCATTGAACGGGTGTTGTAAGTTCTTTGTATGTTTGCATGGTGATAAAATATAATATGTTTTGTTTGTGGAAACACCACGTAAATTTATTACTGCAAAGCTTTCGATCCGTAAGCCCGGATCTTCGTCATATTATTAGCACTGATGAAGATCCGGGCTTACGGATCGAAAGCTTTGCAGTAATAAATGAACGGGTGTTGCTTAGGAAGAATGTTGCGAAGTCACAGGATAGACAGGTGGTTGGAATCGTCATTAACGTGCGAGTAGTTGAACGATGTTTAATGCAATTCCAGCGAGGTTGGAATTCAGAGCGAGTCGATTATTTGACGGTTTTCAATATTTAATGAGTCAGAAACAAGATTATGAAAAATAGATGTGAGTGGTATTATGTTGGTGTTCAAAGTCAAAGATTCGTCATATCCATGACTTGCAGTTCTTAAATCATAATATGGTGTACAAGGTTCAGGTGATTGTGCCAATCTTGTGTTCGACGATTCTTGATGTATTCCCGGTGATTCTGTTTTACCGATCCGCCTGCGGTAGCGTTTTCGAAAAAAAGGACGGCTTTCAGTGCTAAACTTTGATTGTACTGTTTCAACGAGGGGCAGACTGCCTATCTATTCAGCAATCTTGGTACTCCGCGGTGCACAGGGTTCAGTTTCTGCTATGGTGTTAATGTATTCCTTCCAATGAAGCCGGAGAAACTTGCAAAGTTATCCCCAGAAGATAGACAAGAATATGAGAACTCTTTAAAAATAACAAAAACACATAAACGTTACGCTCTTAGAAGTAGCAGTACTAAATTTTGTAAAACGTTTTGAAGAAATAAATGTATTTTAAAACTGAAATCTTGTGTAAATTTTCGCCCGCAATGCCACGCGCCCGCTTTTAAGGCATAAACCTGCATTATAAATCTATCTGCTATACGCGACTTATCTCTTCCGAGATGGGTATAACTCTGCTATACATTTCGATAAAAATTTCGCCATGTAGGGACTCGAACCCCCTTATTTTGGGACAAACCCCAATACCATACCATTCGTCACCAAGGCATTACAGTTTCCTTGACATAAAAATCAAATAAACTATGCTTACACCAAACACATAATTATATCCCTATCTATCCATTGGGGTACACTTAGTTATGCAAATTTTTGTTCGCCTAATCCCTTAATTACCTACACGCCTCCTAATGACTTAGCAACGCATAACAACCATATTGAAATTGGCAATAAAAACCACGATATTTGCATACATAACAAAGAAGATTCTGCTTTAGAGACATATATCAAATCCCTCGATTGCCAAGTTAGATTGTTAGTGAAAGAATTTACAACAAATAAAACAACAGTTGACAAAACGCTACAAGATCATTCGAAAGTACTAAATCAGCTGCAAAATCGAGAGACAAATAGTGAGTTAGATAGCCTAAGAAAAGAAAACCTTCAACTAAAAAAACTAAATGATGAGTTTTCCAAAAGAATTAACAATCTTAGCTGTATTCTAGCAGATCTTCAAGACAAAGCAAAATCAGCAGAGGATGAAAAAGCCAGCTTAAAGTGTTTATGAAACGAAATTTTCGGGTCCCTTTTTTGGGATATTCTGATAGAGTTTTTACGCTGAATATCGCGAGCTAATCCGTTTTTGACGTAGCGATATAGAAATTGCCTTATTTTGACTCTGAACGTGGCATTTTTTGACAATTATACGTCCGTGTTAGATGCGCGGTCACATTTCATGTGTGACGTCACTGGTTAGAGTCGTTCTAGCAAACAAGGCAGCTATAGACAAGCGTGAGGGAACTTGCGGTACAAAAAGTAAGAAACAGTTGGTAAAATATTGCGTTGCTGGTGGACCTGGTAGTATCACTTGTAAGAATAACTCCACCGTCCAAGGAATATCCATGCATGGATTCCCTAAGAGTGAAGAAACTCAGCGAAATTTGTGGATAAAGTTTGTCTAACGACATCGACCTAACTGGCAGCCATCGCCATATTCGGCATTATGCTTTGCTCATTTTGAGGTGCATTTCTACCTCCAGCGTCCAGATATCACTGTTAACCAGTTAGACACAGAAAACTCCTGTCAAACAAAGAAAATGTAGGACAGAAAGATAGCTTATCCTACGATTGATACTGTTCAGCCTGAGCGAGAAGTGCATAATATTTCTGATCGTGAGCATAGAAAGGTGTGATTGTGTATAAATATGTGGTTTGTTGACAAAAATTGAATGTCTTGTATTTATCTCGCAAAGTATATTTCTATACATTTATATTATATTGATTTTTATTGATATAATCGTTTATGTTTTGTAGATTTTGCGTGATATAGGAGGTCATTCAAGCACGACCGATTTCAGTGATTTGCATACCGCACACAAGAAGCCGATGTAAACAACGAAGTGATCGAAGTATTCCAAGACGCTGTAACCGAATTTACATGCAATACACCGAAGGCAAAGACAGATGTTGCATCTAACTTTTCTGACTTTGTGACTTCGCCTGTTTCTTCTTCCACTGATTGTGAAAAATGCGAATTGTTTGCAGTTTGCTGAGGAAATTCGACGGTACAAAGACAATATGAGGAAGTGTAAAGCAAGAAACAAGAGACTGATAAAACAGCTTTGTGACCAGAAACAAACTATAACACAACAGACCAACCAGGTTTGTTTTCTACTTTATAGTGAATCATCCTACAATTCATTAATAAAATATATAGTAATCAGTATAACTATATTTGTGTCTCGCGTTACAACAGAAAACACAAACCAGGCAGTGAATTCAATATAATTATGTATTTATGCGCTCGAATTATTATGGACATGGGTAACAAAGTTAATGCCCAAATCGCAATAAATTCGTTAGGATGGGAGACACTAAAAGTACAAAGAACTAAAGCTAAGGCAAAATTAATGTTCAAAATTTTGAATATGTCTGGGCCTAAAAGCCTAACAGACCTTTTTACCTACAAGAATGAGAATACGCATTACTGTCTCCGTGACAATGAAACAACACTCGTTTTGCCACAGCCCCGCACAAATAGCATGAAAAAGAGTTTTATGTTTAATGGGCCAAAAATATGGAACTCAGTGCCTAAAGAAATCAGAGGAATAAGGTCCCAGTCTCTATTTGAAAGAAAAATTGCTGCTCATGTTTCTAAATAATATATTTATACATACATATATATATCCTTTATTGTAAATAGTTATCTATGTGTTTTGTTAGTTGTCTATATTGTCAATTTTGTCAATTGGAACAGTTAGATTATTTCTATTTTCTTTTATTTGATTCCATAAGAGTCATAACACTTATATATAATAACTTTTGAACACACGCCCTTCGTGGAAATCAATGTTTTTAATTGACGTAGTTAGCTTGTCAAAATAAAATGTATCTATCTATCTATTTATATTAGGCAAAATATCTGGCATACAATACCCATTTATTGGATCAATTCCTTTCACAGGTTCAATTCCTTCCAGAAGGCCTATATAGTTAAATTTTTGCTACTGGTCCTGGTCTAAAAATCATTTTAAAATTTAATTTCCTTTCAATATCAACAGGAAAATCAGATGGAAGACATTCCTGGACAGCCTGAAGAAAATGAGAGTCAAGACATATTGGTGGAAGAAAGTTACGATGAGCCTCCTGATGAAAGTCAGACCGAATCGGATGAAGAATGTGATTCCGAGGTTTCATGGAAAGCGATGGAAGAAGAAGCTGAAGAGAATGATTATGGCAACGATGAAGAACTGAATAGGGCAACACAAAATACTATTAGGTATGATAGACATTACATATTTATTATGCCTTTCAAAAAATTCCCAGGCCAGAAACTACAACATGGCTTTTACATAAAGCATTTTTAATTATCTAAGTGACAAAACATTGTATATGTTGACAACTTATGTTACCCTGCGACAAGCAACAACAAAAATGTGCTTGAGATAACCTGCACAACTTACAAACACCCTATTTCATTGGTGTTGAAGCCGTGTGTGAGAACTACCAGGTGTCCCAAGAAAAACTGTACACTGTTTTTTTTTGTTGTAGCATAAAAACTATAAACGCTATTGCACTTGAAATTTCATTGAATTCGGAAAGGGCCAACTTAGATTTTGATACATAACATTTAATTTTCCATGCAATATTGACTGCGTTATGGATGTTTTAAAGTTGAACTGCCATTTTTGAAAATGCCATTAATTAGTATATAACGGCCTATCAAATACTCATTTAGTACACCTGTTAATTATTTTATTCTGGTTAAAAGAACGCATGTATGAACAATAAAACTGTTTTCTATAAGTCTATTAAAAAGCAAAAGTTTTATAAATAAAACAATTCTATTGTACATATATGTGCGTTCTTTTAATCAGAATAAAAAAATTCACAAGTGAACTAAATGGGTATTTGATAGGCCATTTTTTTACACCCGTTACATTTCTCAAACAAAAATAAAAGTTAGAAATAACCAGATTTGACAATTGGCTACTTACTATAGTATTATCGTTTATGTACCACTGACTGAATTAAATGAATTTTTTTCTTCTGGCAGTGTACCACCTAATGTCAAATGCCAAGACGAACCAAAGTTCATAGTGTTCTATGGTACGAAGGACAAACCAACAGTGTAACACAGTATAACACAGTAACCAACAGTGTAACACAGTAACGGTTAGTGTAACACAGTATTGTGATGCTTGCCAAGCAAAGTCGTTTACCTGGAGAAGTCAACCATTTATGTTTGGAAGGTATCCAGCTGGAAATATATTACTGAGTTTTGCAGTACTCATGGCTGGTGCATCAATAAGCAAGGTTCTCTTGTATTCAAGCATATGGGATTGGCTGCATATACTCCAAGATAATTTTGTTACCATCAAAATAGATTTCATATTCCTACGATCCTGATGTATTGGGAGTGATAATCGAGACCATGTTCTGCACAACCATCCTTAAAATTGTTCATTTTGATTTGTTGCAGGTTAGGAACTTTTAGATAAAGATTACACTATTACAGCAACCATGACATTCTTGAAATGACTTACTATACATTCAAATTTCAATAGGCAGCAGATTCGGGCTAATCTGACCTTGAATTTAGTTTCATAAATCATGGAAATTTTAGTATGTATCTGCCAATAAGTTACCTTTTCTCACACACTGTTTTCCGGCCATTTTGGGGGTACCACCTCTCCCAAGTCTGAGAGTAGATAGTGCCCCCAAAATGGTTGGTATTAAACGGGCTTTGTGGGAAAGGCTAATTACTTCAATTAAACCCATATATACTCCAGATGACATACATTAGACAAAGTATAACAAAGTCAGCACGTTGTACATTAGTTTAAAGGAGCAGTGTCACCATCTACGCATAATATTTTTACGTCGGAATATATCGGAAACTATCGGGAAAAGCTACATGTGTCATGACGTTGTTGGTAAGTATGGAATTAATGCATATATTTGGAGACTTTCTTGGCGATCGACTTGGATATTGGCAATTTTTCAAGTTTATGTACGCACATAGAAAGATGAGCAGACGGTGCAACACACAGCTCCTTTAATCTAAATCACCATGTTCTTTTTCAAGAAAATCAGATAAAACAATTTAAAAATTATGTTATAGGCAAATCAGACTGGAAGTAGCAATGCCATGGAACTTGCAGGAGCTCAAGCATGTTTTGATTTTTTTTATCACAGTTGCTGGTTTGTCAATACCAATATTAGATTCTGACCGTCATGGAGGTGTTGCAAAATGGATCAGAGAATCACACCCAACAGGTCAACATTTTTTTCTATCAGTGGCACATCGCAAAAGGTGCTGTAGAAAAAATGCTGGCTGCGAGTAAGGAGAAGGGATGTGAGCAGATTACCAAGTGGACAAAAGGAGTGAGGAATTACATCTACTGGTGTTCCACTTTAACCATCAAGGGCTACAGTAACCTCGTTGTTGCCAAGTGGAAGTCGTTTATTAGACATGTTTCCAACAAACATTCAAACCACCCAGACCCATTGTTTACCAAGTGTGCCCATGAAGAATTAGAAGACAGGAGAAAATAAATTAAAGTTGGTAAGAAATGTAGAATGTTTATACAGATTATAGAGTAATTACGAAGGGATGGATCCAGCTCTGTTAATTAAGGGGGTGGGGGGTTATCATCTACCCATGGTCATCTTTCAGGAGGAACCATGGATGAACTGCACAATCACTCTTCTAAGCTATGCACAGCAGTGTTCTAAATAAAGTGAATTTGATAAGGAAATTGCCTTACCCCCTTCGCTGAGGCCAGAGTTGTGTACACACCTGATAAGCTGCAATATAGTGCAATGCACTACCATGCATCACACTTATTCTTTTTCATGAGAAATGTCATGTTTTTTCTCTGATTCATCTCAGGAACTCGAGCATATGATAAATTGGAGGTGATCATCATGAAAAAGTCGATCCTAAATGATGTAAAAAAACTTTCCCCAGATGTTCAAACAAGCTCGTTGGAAGGATTCCATTCAACATTGAATCAATGGCATCCAAAAATGCTTTGTTTTTCTTGGCTTGGAACGTATTGCAGGTAAATTGGTAATCTTAGTTATTTAACCCATTAGCAGTCAATGCACCAAAATGCGACCTGTTACTCTTCAGACGATTTTACTCGTCAGTGGTAGACTACTGCCAGTAAATAGGTTAAAAAGTAAAATTATTTAGATAGTATGCAGCTGATTTCTGAAAATTACCACCCCAAATCCTGCTTATTACTGACTTTGACTTCAAGAGACGCTATTGCCATGTTCAGCTATACAGGAGTTTAAGTCACTAAACTATTCTAGACCAATACACTGCACTATTTTCAATTGTCTTTTTATTTGTTATATAGGCATATATTGGCCAGTCTCCATTTCAACGAGAATGTTAAAAGAAAAATAAAGAAAACTAAGGATGGCAAGAGTTACATCAATGTAACATGTCCAAAGTTCGAAATGGGTGATGAAGTTCTACGCGAAGTTGCAGAGCCCACCACTTATTGTAAGGTCTTTTTCTTAACCAGACTATCCACCCTAATGCCCACTGACACACCCTACCTTATCATATTATTCTGTCTAATGCCAAACAATTTTACCTATCAAAGAAGGATGGCCAGCACTTGATGTGACACAGTTACAGTTCTGTATGCAGTGTAATGCATGTAATGTATGCATGCATGGAAATACGATGAACCTACCATACTGCAATGGTGTTAATGTATTCAGCAATAACAGTGTGTCATATTGTTCGGTTCTGTCTGAGCCATGACAAGCTGCCCACAGCCTACCATGACGTTCGGGCACAAACGTACTCAATTTTATATACTGTAATGAAAACTACCTTTCAGGTTATGTTGAAAAGATCAAAGAAATGATGTTCACCACGTCAAAAGAAGAGAGATAAAAGATCAAGAAAAAGTTTAAAGCAAAATGCCCAGAACCTTTGAACAGACCATTACCCGAGAAAGCAGCAAAACAAGATGCCATAGAAAATGATGGTTTGAGGAAACGGAAGATTGCCCAACTATTCCCACCAGGTAAATCATGTATACAATTAATCTATCCAAACTTGTCATATCAAATGTCTATTTCTTATTATATGGGTGAAGAGCAAGAAAAAGAAAAGGAAAAAGAGAAAGAACAAGAGCCTCCAACCAAAAAAACACGTTGCTGCAAAAAAATGTAAACATGCAAGCAATCAGGTTGTTGGAAGCATGTTAAGATAGCACTAACTATTGCATGCAAATGAGAGACAGTTCAAACAGCCACATTGATATTGTTAAACTACATGATATGATAAACAATATTTCAAATATTCTGCTAGTGGCTGCTCGTTTATACGGTACCAGACAAATTTTTGTCTGGTAAATATTTGTACTGATACACTTTGTGTTCACACTGGCCCAGCTTATCTAAGCATATTTTTGTTCACCCATCCAGGCAAGGTTTGCATACCTAGTTTGAAATTGTGAAAATATTTGTCTGGTACTGTGTACAGTAATCAGTACACATTTTTATTTGGACAAAAATATGTCTGGTTCTGAGTAAACAGGTTCTTACACAGAAATAATACATGTTTACATGAGACGCGATGAGAAATTACTCAAAATAACTTCATACCAGTGTCATTTGAGTGTCAAGTTCATCCAAGCTTAATGACATACACAGCACTGTTATTTGAAAGAATTGACAAAAGCTTGTTATATTGTACTGTTAAAATGTCACTCTACAGTTGCTCTGTCCTGCCCAGATACATATCCTTTTGAATTGCTTGAAGAAAGTCTCTTTGTAATGTTGTGATAAACACAGGCATCCAGTGGTCGGGTATTTTCCCAGCCCATTTCACCGAATAGCCATCTTGCAAGCCATCGATATGCAACTGCACGTAAAAATCTTAAAAAAAGAAAAAAGTTGTCATTGGCACCATAAAACCGTCCAGTCACAAATACTTACACTCAGGCAGCGTTTACGCTGTACCGTTTTCGTAGCGTTCTCGTATTGTTCTTAATCCTCAAGGGAACGCAAGACAATAGTCTAGTTCTCTCGAACAATACGAGAACGCTACGAAAACGATACAGTGTAAACGCTGCCTCAGATGAAGCAATATTATATTGTCACTGTGACAATATACCTGCAGTATTTATGGGGGATTGTAACAACCAACTAAGTTTAAAATTGCCAGATATTAACTTGACCCTTTGTTTATAAATCAAATAAAGTTATGATAGTCTCTTTGTATAAATCAAAACCTGTGGCATTTTGGATTTTTGGTAAACTATAATATTGTTTTATACCTCCATTTAGCTTGAGTTTATATGAGCATCAAACATAAACAAGAATTACATTTTACAAGAGGCATACTGTCACTGTCATTATAAAATGCTCATGAGAATTTGCTCACTGTGGTCAAGATTTATTTCCTCGTGTCCTTTAATACTACAGTAAATACTTACTCGTTTTCTGTGTGGCCATACTTGTTGTAGCGCCTGTCACTTTTAGTTTTGAGCAAAGGACCAATTTGTAATAGGACTGTTTTATTAGTCAAGGGATCGAAATCTGCATGGCTGGTTATACACATGGCGTCTAACCCATCGAATGTAAATTTTCCTGTCGCTTCGATAATTTCTTTACAGCAGCGATATTCACGAGACCCAACAAGCAACGAATCGTTGCAGTTCCCACATTTGCACCTATACAAATACAGTATATTTATCAAGATTATTTATAATACTGCTGAGCACCATTACATTCAAGCATCGCACGAACTCATGGATATAACGGCATCATTTGCATCATTTAATATTAAAATACACATTCGAAGGCTTACCAGCTTTGTACTGGCACAACTTTTTCATATCGCTGCTCTTAAACCTCCCTTAGAATACCATCCTCGTCTTCTTCATCGTCTTCACTTGTATCAATGTCTTCGCTTCCAGACGAAGCAAGTGGCTCACCTTGATACGGCAAAAAGTTGCCCTCAAATACGAATTCATCGCTGTCATCGTAGCCGCTGTCATAAGTTGACTTGTTTTTAGATAGATCTTCACTTAAAGCGTCCATATTTGATTCTAAATCATGACCAGAAATTGCGGACATGGATTCTGAGCATGTGCGAACTTTGACAAACAAAATGGCGGATTTGTTATATATAAATCATTAGGAGTGGAGCGGTTTTTTTAAATTTAAACCTGTTTGGTGATAGCTATGTCATTTGCAGACTTCGCAATAATATAAACCCTATTTGGACCGTAGAACAGAAAAGTTTCGCATCGAAATCTTACCTATAAGTTGTTTCATTATTCAAGTTCACTTCATAGTACATCGGCATATAATAAAGTATAGTAAAACTTGAGAAAATCGTTGAAAACGTACATTTTGCTCTGGCCGCATGTATCCCTTGAACCCTTCATGAAATTTGCAGACTTCGCGTCGTATAATATATGTTGTCCCCTGCTTGTCTGCATAATTTCATAGTGATACGAATTTTTTTACTTGTTCCAATTTACGGGACAAAATGTTGATATTTTACACATAAATACCCTGTCCATATGCCGTAAAACATTGCAAGAAGAACGATGTTTCATGAATTGTCGTCCATGTTTGATATCAACAAGAAGCTTAGGAACCAGGCTTTCTTCCAGTGCGGGTTACACGGAGGGATAGCGATGTATATACAAAATATTTGAGTCGTTTATCATGCGCATCACTTTATATCCCATCATAATAAATGAAAGGTATGTAAAA